CACACTACTTGATGAAGCAGAAGCGGTGGTCATTGGCGGACTCGTCGGAGTCATGCTAGTCTCTGAAAAACCTGTAGAGGACACTGTGCCCTCTGGAGTTGTTGTTGTGGTTTTCGAAATGGAAGAAGTTACTTTGGCCTTTGCTGATGCCGTAGAAGGCACTGAACTCATTGGAGAGCTGGCTGCTTCTGATGTGACGGATACAGGTGTGGTGGCCTCTGGAGAAATAGTTAAGTGTTTTGTGGTGATAGGATGTGGAGTAGTGGTTTCTGAAGAGGTAGTATTCTTTATAGAGCTGGAGGTCATTGTGGCCTCTGGGGGAGCATTGGCTGTTGGTGTTGTAGTGGTTTCCAACGTGGAGGTTTGTGCAGAAGTAGTTAAGTATTCCTTGGTCGTTGGAAGCTGAGTAGTGGTTTTTGTAGTACTACTACTAATTGAGGAGCTCTCTGGGGAAGAGCTGGACGGCATTGTGGTTTCTGGGCCAGAGGTGGATGTTTGCTCAGGGGTAGAAAGGAGACTGGAACTGCTTGTGGGAGTTATAGATGTCACACTACTTGACGAAGCAGAAGCGGTGGTCATTGGCGGGCTCGTCGGAGTCATGCTAGTCTCTGAAAAACCTGTAGAGGACACTGTGCCCTCTGGAGTTGGTGTTGTGGTTTTAGAAATGGAAGAAGTTACTTTGGCCTTTGCTAATGCCGTAGAAGGCACTGAACTCATTGGAGAGCTGGCTGCTTCTGACGTGACGGATACAGGTGTGGTGGCCTCTGGAGAAATAGTTAAGTGTTTTGTGGTGATAGGATGTGGAGTAGTGGTTTCTGAAGAGGTAGTAGTCTTTATAGAGCTGGAGGTCATTGTGGTCTCTGGGGGAGAAGTGGCTGTTGGTGTTGTAGTGGTTTCCAACGTGGAGGTTTGTGCAGAAGTAGTTAAGTATTGCTTGGTCGTTGGAAGCTGAGTAGTGGTTTTTGTAGTACTACTACTAATTGAGGAGCTCTCTGGGGAAGAGCTGGAGTGCTTTGTGGTCTCTGGGCCAGAGGGGGACGTTTGCTCGGGGGTAGAAAGAAGGCTGGAACTGCTTGTGGGAGTTATAGATGTCACACTACTTGACGAAGCAGAAGCGGTGGTCATTGGTGGACTCGTCGGAGTCATGCTAGTCTCTGAAAAACCTGTAGAGGATACTGTGCCCTCTGAAGTTGGTGTTGTGGTTTTCAAAATGGAAGAAGTTACTTTGGCCATTGCTGATGCCGTAGAAGGCACTGAACTCATTGGAGAGCTGGCTGCTTCTGACGCGACGGATACAGGTGTGGTGGCCTCTGGAGAAATAGTTAATTGTTTTGTGGTGGTAGGATGTGGAGTAGTGTTTTCTGAAGAAGTAGTAGTCCTTATAGAGCTGGAGGTCATTGTGGTCTCTGGGGGAGAAGTGGCTGTTGCTGTTGTAGTGGTTTCCAACGCGGAGGTTTGTGCAGAAGTAGTTAAGTATTCCTTGGTCTTTGGAAGCTGAGTAATGGTTTTTGTAGTACTACTACTAATTGAGGGGCTCTCTGGGGAAGAGCTGGACAGCTTTGTGGTCTCTGGGCCAGAGGGGGACGTTTGCTCGGGGGTAGGAAAAAGGCTGGAACTGCTTGTGGGAGATATAGATGTCACACTACTTGACGAAGCAGAAGCGGAGGTCATTGGCGGACTCGTCGGAGTCATGCTAGTCTCTGAAAAACCTGTAGAGGACACTGTGCCCTCTGGAGTTGGTGTTGTGGTTTTCGAAATGGAAGAAGTTACTTTGGCCTTTGCTGATGCCGTAGAAGGCACTGAACTCATTGGAGAGCTGGCTGCTTCTGACGTGACGGATACAGGTGTTGTGGCCTCTGGAGAAATACTTAAGTGTTTTGTCGTTATAGGATGTGGAGTAGTGGTTTCTGAAGAGGTAGTAGTCTTTATAGAGCTGGAAGTCATTGTGGTATCTGGGGGAGAAGTGGCTGTTGGTGTTGTAGTGGTTTCCAACGTGGAGGTTTGTGCAGAAGTAGTTAAGTATTGCTTGGTCGTTGGAAGCTGAGTAGTGGTTTTTGTAGTACTACTACTAAT